CTTCATTGTGATGTGTTTCAAGAGTCAAATCAGAACAGACGTTGATCTCCTAATTAATCTCTGCTGAGTTTAGCATATCTATATCTACATTCTTCAAAGATGATAGATTCTCTTTTCAAAGATGAAAGCTTTATTGGATTTCTACACAAGTTCAGAAAACCAATTTTATCCACGACAAAATGGGGAAATCAAGGTCATGATTCTGATTACAGCCAGAGTTCCATAAATGAAACATTTCTTCTGAGACTTTAATAAAACAAAGAAGACACAAATATGCAAGTGGATCAGATGGTTCATCAGAAATGCCGCTTGAAATGACATTTTGACTAAGTAAATGAAGACCAAGTTTACCACTTTGAAGTCGAATGAAGATTGCATCAACATTCATGCATTCATAAGAACATCATTTGCACATTAGACAATGCATTACATTGATACATTTGATTGTATTCAAATATGAAGTTTTACAGGTTTTCAAATGAAAAAAGAAGATTCATGATGAACAATACCTTACAAGTGTAAGGTAGAATTCAAACTTCAAGTACAGAAATCAAATGCAGGAATCACGCAAACATCTGAAGAATAGATGGACGCAATCCAAAAAAGAAGTATTATTTCAAAGTGGGGCATGTTACCCAACTAACAAGTTATTTTAAAAAAGTGAGAAAACAATTTCCAAAGTTTCTCATTTAATCTTTTCTGAAAATGAAATTGTTGAATAGTAAGAAAACGATTTCCAAAGTTTCTTACTTAGTAAACTATTTCCCAAAATTTTGTAAGTCCTACAGGCCATCCATAAGACCTTCAGTGCAGGATGTTTTCAAATAGCAATTTATCTCACTTGAGATTATTTTTCTTAAAACAAATTGTTTCTCGCTTGAGAAAGTTTCACTTGAAATAGCAATTTATCTCACTTGAGATTGTTTTTCTTAAAACAAACTTTTTCTTGCTTGAGAAAATTTCACTCGAAATAATAATTTATCTCACTTGAGATTGTTTTTCTTAAAACAAAATGTTTCCGCTGGAGAAAGTTTCACTCGAAATAGCAATTTATCTCAATTGAGATTATTTTTCTTAAAACATTTCAAGAAGGAGTTCATAATCTGAAGAACTCGCCTGAAGAGGAAGAAGAAGTTCACAATCTGAAGAACTCATCTGAAGAGAAAGAAGGAGTTCATAGTATGAAGGACTCGTCTGAAGAGGAAGAAGGAGTTCATAGTCTGAAGAACTCATCTGAAGAGGAAGGAGTTCATAGTCTGAAGAACTCGTCTGAAGAGGAAGAAGAAGTTCATAGTTTGAAGAACTCATATGAAGAGAAAGAAGGAGTTCATAATCTGAAGAACTCATTTGAAGAGGAAGAAGTTCATAGTCTGAAGAACTTATTCAACCTTTTGCTTGACTTTATCACAGAATGAGATAGATCATCATTCCAAGTGGAAAAGTTCATAATAAGAAGAACTCGTCCGAAGTGAGCGAAAAATTCATAATGAGAAGAACTTATAGATCAGAAGTTTGAACATTTCAAGCTAAAAATGGTGCTTTACGTCTTTGCTCCATTCATGTTCCACAATAACGAGCAAAGAGGGGAAGTTGTAATCACCATTTTTTGCCTCCTCATTCCAGCAGCTCCACGTTACAAATTCCAGTAGCTTCCAGCATTCCCAACAGCCCCTCCACGTTGCAATTTCCAGTAGCTTCCAGCACTGCCAGCAGTCCCTCCACGTCCCCGTTCCAGCAGCTTCCAGCAAGCATCAACCGCACACCTTATCTCCCCTAAGACGGCCACCGTCATAGGTGGGTGACTCATTGGGTTACCTCCTTTAACCGGTCCAAAGTGAGTACGAAGGAGCCTATAAAAAGCCCCATCGACCGAACCTGAAAAAAGAGACCACCAAGAACACACAACTACAAAACTGAAACAAAAAATAGAGTTAAGATACTGATCAATTTAACCTCGTCGGAGGATCCAAACTGTCGTGAACCACCGAAAAACTGAAGGTAAAAATTTAGATCTACGGAGTTTGGGGGATTTTTAGAAAAAGGGGAGTCTGGAATCGGCTTTAGGATATAAAGAGGATTTTTCGGGTGTATTTTTGTAAATTTCGGCCACCATAGACGGTGGCCGGCGACAACGAAAAATGCTGATATACAGCAGCCGGTCAGTGACTGGAACTTCCTCCGGTGGGAGGATTCTAGAGAGAAGGGGGAGAGTTATCTCCTTAGAGAGAGAACCCAAAAGGAAAAATGAGGGAAAATAACCCTCTTGGGCTAATTAAAGGGTATTTATACCCTCACTAAAACTATATTGTTTTGATGAGGGGTGCCTGTGTAATTTCTCGCATGGGAAAACCTTGTACGCAATCACTATATATTTGTATCTTTGCATTTTAGTCACTCAAATCAAGTTCTTAACTTTTTAATTCGGTATTTCAATTTTATTTGCTTTGTAATTTTAGTCCTTGCCATGTTTATAAATATTTTAGGGTAAATATCACGATTAGCCCTGTAATTTTATTAAGTTTTATTTTAATCCTAAATAATTAATTATGGTTAAATTACACTGTTGATGTCTAAATTTATAATATTTTGAATTAGAGCTTTTAATTTTAATATACTATATTTTAATCACTGATATTTTAATTATTTTCCTTTTTGACTATGAATCTTATATATTTTGCAATTTAATTCTATAGTTTTAATTTCTTTTATTTTGGTCATTTAATTATAATTTTATTTTTCAATTTTTTATTTTAATACTTTAAATATTATTCTTTATTTTATATTTATTTAATTTTAGTCATATTAATATATGAAAGATTTGTAAATATTATTTGATTAATTTCAAAAAATTAATTAAATAATAATATTTATTCATTTTTAAATATTAAGAAATGGATGTCTTAAAATAACTAGATGTCATATTCTAGTATTTTAAATAAATAAATATTTTCATTATAAAAATTATATATATTTAATTTAGTTTTATTTAAATTTTTTTTAGGAAAAATTATCATATTTTTAATATTTATTTATTTTTTAATATTGAGAAATGGGCTGTCTTAAAGCAACTAGATGTCATTTTCTTATATTTTTAAATAAATAAATACTTTATTTATAATTTATAAAAATCATTTTATATATGTTTTTCTTTAAAATTATTCATTTGAATCTGAAATGATAGGATCATAAATTAAATTTATATTCGAATTCTTAAATTCTATTATTAGAGACAATTTATAATTAATGAGTATCAATTTTGGGCGTTGTGAGGGTGCTAATCCTTCCCCAAACGTAACCGACCACGAATCCCTTTTTATTACTAAAAAGAATGAAATTTTGGTTATATGCAGACCAATTTATCTTTTAAATAGTTTTTCTTAAAAACTCTTTTAAAAGATGATTTTTAGGTATTCGACCTACCTAACTAAAAAAAAGGTCGATGGCGACTCCAAAACATTTCATAAAAAACCATTTATTTATTCACATTACTTTTTCCGCCAAGTAAAAATTCGTGCCCAGGCGAAAACCGGTTACGACAATACTGTTCATATGGTATTGTACCAAAGGTAAAAGAAGCATCGATACTCTCAATGTAGTACTGATACTACCAGCTTGGTCAAATTCCACAATGCAAAATAGGTATCGGTACCCAACGGGGTACTGATACTACTTTACATAGTAGTATCGATACCATGATCACAGTATCGATACCGTCAGGCCTAACGACTAGTAACAACTAGTTTTATTTAAATATATTAAAAGAAGTATCAATACTCATAAATGGAGTACCGATATTCCCTGTCCTGGATAGTTTATTTTTGCAGAGAAAACATCCTCAAACGACTAGAAACGACCACAAACACATTTCAACATATAAATACAAGTTCAAGACACTTGAAGAAGGGTTAGAACACTTATTCAGTCAATCAAACACAAGAGAAGAGCTTTTCACTCTTTATTTCCTTTCTCTTATAAATATTTGTTTTTTGTGAGCTTTAATTTTGTAAACACCTACCTTAGGTTTCTTTGTTTACTTCTTTTTACCTTTTCTAAAGGGATTTTGGTTCTAGCTAAGCCTTTAACACATTTTTCGTTGTTCATTTGAGCTTCGTAAATCCTAACAAGGAATCATACAGTGTAACTCTATCCTATACTCTCGATCGAAATTAATAATAAATCACGAATCTAATTCGAAGATTTTACATTCATCATAAATTTTGTTTTTATCTAAGGTAAACTATATAAATGGTTTACCGCTTTCCTCTTTACATTAAAAAAACTATATAAATGGTAATTGAAGTTTGAACGACTTCTTTCTTCATTCATGTTTCAAGATTAACAATTCGATTACTAATGCTAATTAATTTATAACAAGTTAATTATTATTAGAATAACAAGATATTGATGTGAAGTACAATTTGATCACTAACGCTATTGATTTATAATAAAATGATCGTTATTAAAATAACATAATACTGATGTGAAGCCTTAAATTTGTTGATTACGCATTGTTTAATCATGAAAAACAATAATTTTGATGGATGTTTGAAACTTCTCTTTAAAGAAGATCCCCAATCCTTTTAAGTGAGAATTCAAGTATATTCTTGTATGACGACACCTATACTTCAACGACAGCAAAAAATTTCGAAAAAAATGATGTTGCAATGAATGAAAATTTAAACTAGGTGTCATGGAACTTTTGATCATTGAAAGCAAAAATGGTCATACAAACGTCGATCAAAATTATTATTTTTTGTTGTCAAACTATGAACATCGGTATATTTAACACACCACATCAGTATTCTATTATCTAATAATAATTGATTTACTATAAATCGATAACATTAGATTATACAATTTAATTATTTGATCTATGAATGTTGAATGCAAAAGCTCATTAGGATGGATCATGAAGTAATTTTCCCATGTTGAGTAGGATGAATCATAGACTAGTATTTATAGAATTAAATGAATTATACATGATCGATTAGCAAAAATATCCATAATTTTTTTCTTCATACAGAATGATTAATGAAATCATAACTAATTTTATGAAATTTAAACGTAAAGTCGCTCACCTCATTACCATTTCCGTCAACAAGAAGCTTTAAAAGTTCAAGAGCCTTGGCCTTCCCTTTACCACTACCATTCTCACCCACCTCTGCAATTCCTTCCATTACTTTAACCCCCATTTCTTTCACCTCCCTCCTCCCCCTTTCTCCGCCGCACCTGGCCATGTTCAGCAGCGCCGCCACCGCGTTTTCCCTCGCTCTCCTACTCGCCGACGACCCTTCCTCCAACAGCTCACCCAAAACCCCCACCCCACCTGTTTTCCTCATAGCTTCCTCAGTCTCTTCGCATCCTGCCACCTGCGCCAGAACCGCCGTGGCATCCTCCACGATCCCCGTCCTCGCATCCCTCACTATCAGCGACACCAGAGCCGGAACCGCCCCGAGACCCACCAGGCTCGCCCGGTTCAACGGGTAAAGCGCGATTCCGAACAACGCCTTCAGCGCGTCCTTAATCGAACGAGTCGGCGCGTGTTTGTCACCGACGATCGACAACAGCGAGTAAAGGATATCGCGTTTCGACCCGATCACCGGACGATAAGACTCGTCGGCTATGAGAAGGCTGTGAAGCGCGGCGGCGCAGGATTGAACCGCCGCGTGCGAAGCCGGATTGCTCAGAGCGTGAGATAACGCGTCTAGGAGACCGCGGGTGGACATGAGAGAATCGCGCGAAGTAATCGACAGATTCAACAAAGTAGCGGCGGCGTTCTCTTGTATCGTTTGAGAAGAAGAATAGAGCGTGTCGGAAAGGTAAGGAACGGCGCCGGCGTCGGCTATAAACCGTCGACTTTCAGGGTCGAGCTTGGAGATCTGCCTTAATTCCGACAAAGCGTCGGTTCGGGTGCGTTCAGAGACGGAGCTGAGTTTCGCAACGAGGCTTCGAGCGGTTCGCCGCTTATCCTCCATTGATTTGGATAAGATTGTAAGAGAAGAAGAAAGGTTTGAATGAAGAGAAAGGGGTTGGCTCTGACTTTGAGGAGATGGTGAAAGTTGTATATATTGTTACTTCAAGTTGCAGTAATCAATGACGTTTCAACATTTTTACGATGATTATTTTTATAAAAATATATTTTATTTCAAATTGATTGAAACTTTGAATGAGATTTGGATGGTTTCAATTGATATTCAAGGAATAAGTTTATGTTCATATTTGTACTTGGGTTTTCTAAGTTACTTTTACGCTCGGTTCAATTAATTTATGTTCATGTGTTTTTATTTAAATTATATAATAAATTAAATTCGATGACTTTAGCCATAAAATAGAGTATTGCTATTCGTAGAAAGTCGATTTGAGCTATTGTGCTAATAGAGTGTATGCATTGTGGATTGATTAAATTTTTTAAATAAATATTATCTTATAATTAATTAATTAATTTCTTTTGATCATATACTATCTTATAGTAATCACGTATTACTTAAAAAAGTCAAGGGTAAAATACGTGTGTAGTATCTAAATTATGAGTTTTGATATGTTTTAATACTTAAACTTTAATTTTGTTTTTAAAAATCGTACCTAAAGTTTAGTATTTTATTTCATTTTAGTACACGTTCAAAATTTAACGTTAAGTTTTGAAAAATATTAAAAATTTAGATAGTAAAACGGACTAAAATTGATTGTTTAAGTACTAAAAGCATTAAGTTTTTAACCGTAGGGTACTAAAATGAAACAAAAATTTAATGTTAAGTATGATTTTAAAAATAAATAAACGTTTAGGTACCATAACGAATCAAATCTGATAGTTTAGGTGCTAAATGAGAATTTTACCCTATAAGTAAATTAAGAAAAGGGAAAGAAACCCTCATAAGTTTTGACATTTCATCCGAACGCCGCTTTGCAACAAAATTCTCCAAACGAAACGAAAAAATGAGCAACGCTGCCGAAACACGCAATTGGCTGGAACTGCCGCCGGACGTGACGGCGTATATTCTTTCTCGGCTAGGTGCGATAGAGATCCTCAACAGCGTCCAAAACGTGTGCTCTCACTGGCGAAAAATCTGCAAAGACCCATCAATGTGGAGATCCATTGATATGCGGAACTCGGGTGATCTACATAACATGGACTATGACCTCGAGAAGATGTGCGTCCACGCCGTCAATCGCAGCTGCGGCCACTTGCTTGATATCAATATCGAATATTTTGGTACCGATGAACTTCTATTCTATATCTCTGAGCGGTAAAGTCCCCCCTATTTTATAATCTTTAATTCCTTTTCAAGCTACACTAATTAACATCATCGTTTTTCTTTCTTTAATATTAATGGAGTGATTATAGTGTTATGAGTTTAGTTTGTTGATAGTTAAATTCTGGGCATTTCTTAGATTTAGGGTTTGTCCAACATTTTACATCTTACTTCACTAGTTGATTTCAGCGCCCCCTCCCCGGCCCAACTTATTTACGCATATTTTCCTTAAGCGATTCATACTTTGGCTTGTTACATATGATTATATGACTGCTTTGGTGGGATTGTTTTACTTAATTCCTTGCTACGTGCCTTTGATTTTGTTACACCCTATGTTTGGATTGATGTTGGATTCCACGTGTTCTGTGTCTTGACTCTCTGTTACAGGTTGTCTATTCTGCCTTGACTGTATAGTTGGTGTTATTGTTGGATTTATTATTTATAAAATTAACTTTTTGCTGAACAAAAGTGAGAACTTTTTTTTTTCAATTGGTAGGCAGTATAGATGTGTTCATAGCCTGGCCTTTACTTTCTTTGCTTCAACTGCAATTGATTAATGAGGAATTTCAAAATTACGTTTCAGCATGAACATTCAGTAGAAAGATGGTTGTTTGAATGTTTGTTTGTATCTATAATTTTCAATCACCACTTATTTTTATTATGTTACAGTACTAAATTGGTTATTCATTTGTTTGGAATTGTTGTTGCTCATCATTTCTTATCTTTTATTTTTCAAATGATGCTTTCGCAGGTCCACCCATGTCAAGCATCTTCGACTATTTTCATGCTATGACATTTCAGATGAAGGATTAAGCGAAGCAGCTTTAAAGCTTCCATGTCTGGAAAAGCTTGAAATCTTCATATGTCCTGTTTCGAAGCATGCTCTGGAAACTATTGGTCGCAGTTGTCCTCTCTTGAAATCGTTCAAACTCAATCTTCGGCAATGCAAAAGCTTTCACTATGTCTCGGATGATGAGGCACTAGCTATTGCACAAACTATGCCTGAATTACGCCACCTTGAACTTTTGGGGAACGGGTTGACAAATGAAGGCTTGCTGGCCATTCTTGATGGTTGTCCTCACCTTGAATATCTCGACTTGCGGCAATGTTTTAATGTTTGTCTGGAGGGAAACCTGGAGAAAAGATGTGTTGAACGCATAACAACCTTGCGGCGCCCGAATGATTCAACCCATGGTTATGAGTTCGATGCAGGGATTCATGATATCGAGTCATCAGATGAAGACACCACAAAACAAATTATTTTTAAGGGCATTTAAATTCTGATGTTTACCAAAACCACTTCAAATAGATATAATACAATTTGACTTGCCCAAATAAGACCCCCAGTTTTAACAAGCCTTTTAGGGGCAAATTTTTTAAGAGTTATCATAAATAAAATCACTTTTTATAAAAAGAAAAGTAAACTCTTTAAATTTCTGTTATATTTTTTGTTTGTTTTCTCCTTCATTGTTTTAAATTTTGAAGAATATTTTTCATTGTTTCTCGTTTTTCAAATAATTTTCTTCATAATTTGGAGTGTTTCTAATATCAAGATCTCTTAAATCATACTTGAATTTATCATTTTCCAAAATTAAAATACAAGACCTAATTATTTCATTTACGCCAACATCATCTCTGCCACATTTATTTTGGACTCAGTTTTAGGGTTAAAAATGTTCTGTCTGCATTCAAAACCAAGCCTTTAATGCGGGAGAGCATGGGAAACAGGTCTATTATTAAAATCCCCTGCCCTTTTCCCTTTTTTATGAACATTTTATCAATTTATTGTGCTGATTTTTAAATTATTGATCAAATTACTATGCTAATTTTCTTTCTGAAAATTGTTTTTGATTCAAGAAGGGCAAAGTAAGACCAAACGCGTGGCTATTGCAAATAAGTACCATTTTGGTGTTGGCTACTGCACTGTTAAACTAAAGGTGTTTTGGAAATTTAGACTGGGAAGCTGATAATATGGGGTTCAACAGATGATGGACAAAGTTACTTGACATCAGGGAAGCATGAGGTAAATGAAGTGATCCTCTAATTTATTTGAGTTAAAATGATTAAGGGTTTGTTTTCTCCGAAATTGATAAAATGCATATATTTATTGAGGGCGAATTTTGGTTGTGCTCATTGTGTGTCAGTAAGACAGTAACAAGTAATCTTTTTCTATTTTTTATTTTTCTTTGGCTTTTAAGAATGTTAGCTTATATGAAGTATTTGCAAATTAAATTCTGAGGTATGTAGAAAACAAGAACAAGGGTCATGTTTACTGGTTGGGAGATGAGGATTCGAAAAGTTATTAGGGAAATGCTGATGTTCATTTTTCTTGCATCACAGCCTTATAAGTTAACTTCTTCTGTGCTTGTTCCTATATAAATATTGGACCAAAAGTTATTTTTGTTGTCAATACAAGTTTAACATGGTTTTGGAAGAAGAAAAGAAGATAACAAAAAATCTTGTTTGCAACAGGTATATCAAGTAGCCTTGGCCTTCAAGTTTTATCTATTGTACAAGTACCTTTATGTCTTCATTTTCAACTTGCAGTGAAAGCCAAATTATGTTTGAAGCATTTCTGAGACATGTCAATGACATTGTTTTTGCATATTCCACTAGCTATTTAGGTTTATTTTTAATTGATTGATCTGGTAGATGACCACTTCTATTGATTTGTTTTGTAAACAACTTGTTTTAAGACGGTAAAATTGTTGAATGCACGAGAAAGAAGGTAGTATTTCAATCGAATTTTATGCAGGCTTCTGCAAGTGGAATGTGCATCGGCTGCTTTTTCCAGTGACTGCCATTCTGCTTTAAGGTATAACAAAGTTTAGTTATTTTCTTCAAGAGATTGTCGTTTCTTGTTTGATTCTTTTCATTTCTTTTTTTCACCTGAAAATTCTGGTGTTATTTTACGATCATATTGGTAGATATCCACTTTGTTCTGCATTTAACAAAGGAACCAGCCACTAATTGACCATTGTGTATGTGCAGGGAAAGAGTCACTGATCACCCCATGAAAGCATATCAGGCAAGTTTATTATTATTGTTAGATTATGTTTAAATTGGCTTTAATGAAGATGTCTGATTTATAAAATGTTGGTTATTATATGTACAATTTTTTCTTGTGAATTTTTAGCTGGCTGATGTGTTCTTCGTAGTATGTATTTAGAGAAGCGAAGGGACAATAAAAGTAAGAAACTGGAATTGTTTGCTCTCTCATCTTTTCTGGACTCATTTTTATTGATTCCACATCAACAGCATCCGAATTTGTTAACTTCAGCCCCCATTTTTCAATCTGCTATTTAACACATTTTATGAATATATTCAGAAATTTAATGGACTTTACATTAGAAATTTTCTTGAATTTGTATCTATTTTTTTACATGTAATCTCTTATCAATATCAACCTATTTTATGAATAAAATGCCATGAAGTTAGTAAGAAGCAACCTGACCTTATAACTGTAAAGAAAAATTCTGAACCAAAAATTTGACATCAAAAGTTATATTAAAATAAAACATGTTAATTAGGTTAGCATTGCCCTCAATGTCCTGTACGTAACTGCATGCTACAAGTACATTCATACCATCAACATTTTTCCCTATGTAATTGATATTTTATACCCTTGTCTCATGACTATCATGCAATCAACCAAGAGGTTTTTAAAGAATTTAGAGGTGTTCCTGTATCCTTCTATTTATCTTTCTAGCATTTGTTTATCTATCAGTAATAAACTTTGCAGATTGTGACTGTTACTGCAAGAGACTGAAAAAGGATGCAGAAGATAAGAAGGCTCTTAGGCCTTGGCTCCTTGGACGCAGTTGGTACGCGTTGTGCAATCATGGAGGTACAATTTCATTTTCATATTGCTAGGTTTAACCGAGGTTGTTGCCACTTAATAGCATTGTGTTTGTTAGAAGATTTTGATAGCTGTTGTCAATGCGTTTCATGCACCACAACCATGAAGTTTCTACTTTCAGAAGCAGCATAATTTTATCCTAGATGAACATATTGTGCCGACAGTGTATAAGTAAAGAATCTGTACACCCCATTCCTACATATTCTCCATTCTCAAGTCTCGACAATAGTCTGGTTTTCTTCTCTGCTTTTAATGGTTGTACTCATGAATGTTCAACACCCAAATTTACTTCGGTTGAACCTCAAAACAGTTTTAGCCACCAATGATGCATACATACATATGGTGGTAGAAGTCGCCTGAAAAGCGTCCTTTTAAGATATAAATTGATCATATAAGTATGTTCGTTTTTTATTTTTTCTTTGATGTATTTAGCAATGTTATTAAAACCGGACCGGCCGATTCGACCGGTTGAACCGTGAACCGGTGGCCTGTCCGGTCCGATTAACTCCCAAAACCGGATTAGCACAGAACCGGAAAAACCGGCTGAAAACCGGCAAAATCGGTTTGAACCGCCGGTTCACTTTTTTTCTTAAAAAAAAAAATTAAACCAAACGACGTCGTTTGTTCAACGAGCCGAGTCAAATTCGAGTATTGTTGAGCTCGACTCGAATTCGAAAACTTTAAAAGTAAGTTCAATTCGATTCAAAAACTCACGAGCTAAAAATTATCAACTCGAAATATAATATTAAAACTTGAAATCGAAAAGGCTCGAACTCAAAAAAAATTTAGAAGTTCGATTGAAGCCTAAAATTTGAGCTCAATTGAAGCGAAAGAATAGTTCGCTTTGTACTCATCAAAAGGTTTCATGATTTTGAATGTCAAATTACCTCTATTATTTATAGAAGTAAGTTGAGATGTTCTTCTATGTTTCTTAGCCATGTGAGATTGTTTTGTTCTCATATTTTCTCTTTAAACTTTTGGGATACTTTTCAATGTTTCTTAGCCATGTGGGATTGTTTTTTTTAAACAATTAAACCAAATGACATCATTTGTTATGATTTTTTTAAGTTCCAATTTTATTTTTTTGATTATAGTTATATAATTATATTTATTATTTAATATGTTTTATCTTAAATATTATGTTGTAGTTGATTTGAATCATTTTGTTTCACTTGATTTTATGGCTTTTCATTTATATATGTTATGACTTGGGATATTTTTATACCTTTTAATATTGTAAACTTAAAAAAAGTATTATATATATATTAATATTGCTTTGAATATTATGTAAAATTAAAAATATATATTATTTGTAGACACTCATTTTCGTCCGTATTTAGTTTATTTTATTTTACTTTATACATATATATATATATATCTATACATATATATTATATAGTTCACAAAATGGTTTTTGAAAAATACATATATAATATATGTTTTTTTTAAAAAAATACCTTTGAAAACTATATAATATATAGTTTTAAATCATTTTAAAATTTATATAATATATAATTTTTTTAAAAAAAACATTTTTTGAAAAAATATAATATAGTTTTAAAACGTTTTGAAAACTATAACATACAGTTTGAAACATTTTAAAATTATATAATATATGATTTTGGAAATATCTTTGAAATATATATTATATATAGTTTTAAAACGATTTTTTTATATATATCATATCATATTATTTTGTTTTATTCTTTTTATTTTTTATTATTTATTTAATTGTTTTTTGGTGTTTGTCCATATCCAAGAATCCAGTCCAGTGCACAGGTCAGTTGGGTCTGACCCAGCCCGTAACCAACAGCCAAAGCAAGTTAGGGTTTACTCGGTCAAGCATTGCGCCGCACGAGGAAGGAACAAGTCACGCACAGCCAGGCGAGAAAACCAGCCAAGATCCGGTCACGAAGCAACCAGCCCCGGCTAAATCGGGACTGACCCATCCCGTTTTAGCCGGTCAACCCACAACGGCCACCAGCCCCGTATTTCGGAACAGAAAAACGGCCGATGAAGGCCTATAAATACCAAACGGCCAACCCAGTACAAAAAAAAAAGAGGGGACAGTACCCACGGCGAGGAGTAAACACCATCGAGCCACACAACAGTACACCAAGTATCAACGGAAACCAACCACACAGCAAACCGAGAACTCACAGGAGAACCCAGATCCATTCGAAACAAGTTACACAAAAAAAAATCATTCGAAAAAATAGAGAGAATACCGAAAGCAAAGAACCCGCGACTTTTAACAGTAGATCTATACCGTTTGGAGGTGTTCCTTGCAAAACCAAGGCCAGATCCAAGTTACCGGTGTCGAAAACGACATACCTTTAAAGTTTGGCGTTGAACGGCTACCAAATAACGGCGACAAACGAAGGTCCTTCCTTTCCCGGTGAGAAAGCAGCGAAACACCCACTCTCTGTTTTTAATCTTTGGTAACAAATGTTTCATTCCTTTTTTGGTTTTGAATTTGCACAACGACAAATGCATACCTAT